GTTGTTACACATTCTTCTTTACTTTAAATGATAAGTTCTTAGAATTAGACTTATTCAAGGTGGTATGTTCCTAAAAAAAAAGAAAAAGAATAACAAGCTTATATCTAATTGACTTACTAAGGACATAAAAGAGAAAATTAGAGATAAATAGCATAAGTTTACGTCTGGATGGAAGACATACAGAACTTATAAGAAAGCTAATGATTTGTTTAGGAAAATAAATTCTAAAATCAAAAAAAAGTTTAAATGTTACGGTTAGTAGGGACATTTTAATTATCTCAAAAATAGGAAAAATGTCAAAATAAGAATTTGGCTCTTGAAGGATACTGATAACAAGTTCTTGCTGAATATTATGGGCTTTTAATTTTTTTTTCTTTTTCTGCTTTCACAAGAAAGGATGTTAGTATTATTCCTTATTTTGAGCATTCTATGAAAATATTGAAAATTAGCTGAATCATGTAAATATTAATCATTTGTTTGTTTGTTTTTGTTTGTTTTCAATTATGTACAAAGCTACACAAGGGCTATCTGTGCTCTGCCCACCACGGGTATCGAAACCCGGTTTCTAGCGTTGTAAGCCCGCAAACATACCGCTGTGCCACTGGGGGGCATTAATCATTTGAAATATGTAAAAAAGATTGTTGGATTACAATTAAAACAACAAGACTAGTCAGTGTTTTTCACAAGATCAGATATGCAAATCTGTTGGATATTTCTGTCTGTTTTTAGGATGAAGAAGAACCACAGAATATCTTTAATAAATAGTTGGGAAATGAATTTTAATGACATAATACCAATATTTCAAAAGGGGTGATAATAGTTGCCCTGGAACTCTATGTCAGTTAGTCTCACTTCTGTAGTGGAGAAGATGCTAGATAGTCTGATGAAAGAACATTTGTAAAAATCACATAGTGAAATTTAAACCATTACTTGACAAAAGTGTTTGTGTATGTTCACTCACTACTGGCGAAACGCTGGACACTTGTCACCAAATCTGGCATGTGTCCTTAGGGAAGGACCCCTGATAAGTGATATGGGAGTCGGCGTTTTGATCTAACACCTATATCACCTCCAAGAAGCCCATGTTTCTTCCTTGTGCATCGTGTCACCAATCCTGACATGAACGTTTAGATCCTCCCAGGTAGTGACATACAAGAGTCGGAGTTTAGATCTGACTTATCTATATCTTCCCCGTGTGTTGAACAGATACACCAGGTAGTATATCATAAAAAGATGAATTCACTAAGGATTCTAAAATCATGGATTCACTAAAGAAATTTTTGGTTCTTTCTTTTGGAATGTTACCTATTATGTAGATGATGGAAAAGGTGCCGGCTTAATTTACTTAAGTTTTCAATAGGCTTTTGATAAGGTGATATACAGAAATTTATTTAAGAAAAATCATATTTTTTTATGATTGTTTAAACATTAATTAATTGGATTAAGAAATGTTGGCTGGATGAAATAAACGAAAGTGTTGTTAATAATGGAGTTTAGTTATACTGAACTTTTGTTACTAGTGATGTGCCTCAGGGGGGTTAGTGCTTGAACCTTTTATTTATTACATTAATGACATCGATAGGAGCATGAATAGTAAATTAGAAAGTTTTACTGGTGGCATTAAACTTTTGCGTATTTCTAGCTATATTCAGGATGTCATCGTACTGCAGAATGACTTGGATCAATTAGCAAGGTAGATATATAGTTGATAAATGACCTTTGATTATAATAAATGTAAAGTACTGCACTTGAGTCGTCATAACTTGGATCACTCGTTTAATACAGAAGAGAACCTACTCAATAGCATGCCTGACGAAAACGATCGTGGAATAATGGTAGGTAAGACACTCAAGCCATCGAGGCTATGCTTTGTTGCCAGTAGTAAATTTAAATATGATTTGAAGATATATTTTAGACATTATTGATGTCTGATATTGTGCGCAGTTTCGGTCACCTTTTCTTAGAAAGGATATTGATTCGCCAGAGAGAGTTCAGAGGAGGGCCACTTGGATAAATCTAGGGATGGAAGGTTTATCTTATGTGGATAGGTTAAGAGTTCCTAACACATTTTCTCTTGAAAAGGAGTAAAAATTAAGCTTATTTATGTTTGCACGGTTATTTGGCATATCAATAAGTTAAAGGCCAACAGCGGCCAACCTGCATCGATGAGGTTTTTGTGAATCCTCTACATGCCCAGCATGTCAGGAATCCCCATAAGACACAGACACATCTCGTGTTGCACCGTCCGTTCATTGCGGTACCGATGGACACAGGCAAACAGGCTGAGGTCAGGCCAAGACAGAACAGCAGCCAACCTGCATCGATTGGGTTTTTGTGAATCCTCTACATGCCCAGCATGTCAGGAATCCCCATAAGACACAGACACATCTCGTGTTGCACCGTCCGTTCATTGCAGTACCGGGGGGATATGGTACAATCCATGAAGCGGGCGAGGCATTCATTAACTGGATCATGACTACGAATTTGGAGGTGTGAGAAACACCATACGCAACTACTAAAAGCCTCTAATTCCTCTGAAGACAAAAGGACAATAAAAAAAGACAGGCTAGGCTGTAAGGCAATCTTATTTTTCTAACCTTTCAACAGTATAAAAGGGGGAAATGGTGATTTCCTGAGAAATAAATCGTGAATTTACTTTTCTTTTTTCTTTGGGGCGGTTGCACATGGAAAGTCTTGAATGACAAAATATTCCCTTATTCGTGCATGTTATTTTATGTAGTATTCTCACACAATGTTTCACTTTTTTCCTCACTTTGTAATAGATCACAAGGATTAAAGTGCCCCAATCTGATCACAAATCATTAATAAATTTCAAAGAAAACATTTTGATGTTTTATGTTTGTAAAGAACCATAGGACGAATGGAAGCTGGTCAATCAGAACAAGCTGTTGGAAGTTGGCCAGAAGTGTCTTAGAGTTTCATTAATATAATGAAGCTGCTTCCAAAGTAATGACACCTGGACATGGCAGACTATCATCCATAATACAAACAGGCAACTGCTATCTGTAGATTGTGGTTCGTCATAATTGTAAGGTACCTACTCCAAGACCGAATCAGAAGTTCACAGTCATAACTGGATGTTTGGTTAAACACAGGATTTATAAAGAGGTACATTTCACTCACAGCAAGGTACAAAACTGGTCACTCACAATGGTATAACGAGCATGTCAAGTGGGACACTTCAATGTGAAGCAATATTCATTTCAGAAATTAGTTGCACATCGCTCTGCAACCATCTAATGGGTGAAGAGTATCTGGAATCAAATTTAGCTCCATTTTCAAACAAGAATAAAGTGTGTGCGTACATGACACTGGTGGATGTATAATACATACAGGAATATTGACTCCTCTATCGTGTATGGTGGTGCCATTGATTACACACATTACAGAAACATATCCTAAGACCCTTTGCTGGTTTAATTGATGTCTTCTACCCCCAAGAAACTAAACTGGCTAGTATTATTCCTTACGAAGAGGAGATTGATAGAATAGAGTGACCTACTTGTTTACAAGATTTCAACCCATGTCACTCTTAGAATATAACTAGTTAAAGGGGAAATTATAAACCTTTTGTTTGATGATTTTGATTTTGTTTTCAATCTCTTCGTAATATGAAACATTGTTTTCAATATTCATAATTGCAGAGGGTTTTTCGCGATCTATTGTTTCTAATAGTATTTACGTCCAGTCACCTTGCCACTGGTCATCCTGTGATCTGCAACTAAAAAGATGAATATATATAGTAGAGATATGGGTATTAAAAACATTTATTTAAAAACACAAAACAAGTAACAACGTTTCGACCTCCTTAGGTCATCACCAGGCTAAGAATGAAATTTGGAAAGTGATCGTTATTGATCACGAGTTATAGAGACAATAGTATTGAGAGGTATGAAGTTGTAGGGGGTTATAAATGTTTAATCTGACTTTAGTGTATTGAGCAAAATCCTTCTGCCAATGGAAAGTACGATGAACAGCAGTGTTCCACATAGAATACCACTGGTGATGGAAAACGGAACTTTAAGGCCTAGGCACTCACCCTTTTATCATTATAATACATTTTGATTAGCTGTCTGTATATGCAGCTAGACTTTGGTCTACTTCAGAAAATAGCATGCTTTAAAGTCTACAAATTACTTTTATTTCCTGCTTTATACGTGTCATAGCCTCTGACATAGCAATATATAAAATATATAGAGGCCTAAATGAAGAGTTGGAATGAAGGATTGAGCGGGGAACATAGCAATAAGTAGAACTGCAACTAAGTGATGTTACATGTTAAAGACGTGAACATTCAGATAAATTTATACCAGTGTGCTTATAAACTGTAAAATATTTTTTTCTTGTGATGCGCATCTATAAAAGAAGATATTGTATCTGCTGGAATCCCAACTACGAACACAATGTGAGAACAACCACAAAATCTACACGACTATATATGTCAGTATCACATACTAGAAAAATGGAGGCTATGTGAGACTCCAATTAGAACCGGTCTTCATAAAGCATAGCGCCTTACCCCACTTTCTCTGAACATCATAACAAGATGTTTAGATCGTCAGTATTTATATGGGCATGTAAGTCTAGACATCTCAGTTCCACTCCCTACTTTCAAATCCGCTCCGCCGTCTATGTTTTGATACTCAAATAAAGTAATTAAACAAATTAATATTTTTCGTAATTTACGTTTAATATTGTTCTTAGCTTCCCGGTAGCACAGCGGAATGTCTGCGGACTTGCAACGGTAGAAATCGGGTTTCGACAACCGTGGTGAGCAGATCACAAATAGCCCGTTGTGTAGCTTTGTACTTAACTTCTAACAAAAAAACACTGTTCTCAAAAGCAAAAAGAATAATATACTTTAATTTTTTTACTTATTTAAAAATGTTCTATTTAGAAGTTTTCTTATTTTTTTGAATTGATATCCTGAAGTTTGTTTCTTAAAACTAAAACAGCATGTTCTCTTTGGTATTTTTCAGACCTCTAAGGGATATCTATCCGCTCTGACCTAAAAGCAACGAACATCCTGTCTGTTCTGGCCTAACAGTAACTCGCTTGACGTGTTTCGTGTTTTTTAGTCAATCCACGATAAAAAATTCAGGCTGTCTGCTTCCTGACTGTATGTACTCTATCACCTACGGGAGCAAGAGAAAGAAATGAGGAGAATTTAGTTGAATTAGACACCTTCTGTCTATCCCTTCAGTATCTCTTACAGGTATTTTGTCTGTGGTTCGTCGAAGAGATCGGTTTGAACTCGTTTTCACTATTTACAGACAGTTTGCAGCAAAAGAGCCCTGGATACAAGTAAGATTTCATTATTCAATGAATAATAACTGTCTAATATTCTAATAATTTAAAAGTTTAAAGCGATACATCATCATAAAGGCTGATTTGTTTAATAACTAAGAAAATTAGATAGATTCGTAATAAGTTATTTAAAAAATAAGCTACACTTACGAAGTTTGTTAAGTAATTTTATCTTGTCTGTTTTATTTCTATTCTAATCATTACGTCTTTTAGAGCCAATATCATAAGTAAAATATGTGGTTTATTGTACTGAAATCTTTTACATAAAATTTATTGACTCTTAAGTAGTGTTTACAAAAACTCCAACCTGTATTCTTTGGTATATAAAAAAAAACTGTCATGCTGTCCAGTTATGTATAAATAGGTGACCGGAACCGGGGGGAACGACACCGGGAGCACGCGTCCTCAGTTTTTACCGAGTAGCAAAGTGCCCTTTAAATGGGGAAAAGTGCCTTGTATGTAACTATCGTGGAACGTCGCTGTTTCAATTTGGAATTGAACGGTCATAATTCACAAATTCAAATATGACCCGCCGCCTGTATATACTGAGTTAAAAGTACAATTATCCAAAACCAAGTAACGTACTAAGTGTTTTGATAGGAGTTGTCATCTTCAATGACATGACATGCCATTCCTTTTTATGTTTATTGTCATCTTGAAAAGTTAAATGTGTCATCAAAAAAGTGCTTGATAGCTATGTGTGTGTGTGTGTATGTAACCCTTTAAAGAATGTTATAGTTCTTTTATTTTAGGTGTATGAATATTTTGGCACTTTGAAATCAGTAATATCGTACATGGTTACTGATTTTTAGCAGAGTTTGGACAGAATATATTTGGCCATCAAGATGGCTTCTTCAGGATACCTTTTCTGACCGTTACAGACGAATTACTCATGTAACATCTCTGTCTGACCTACAAAAAACTACTGGTTTTTGATTATTTTCTCGTAAAGGGTGATCCATTCCGTAAGTATTCTTTATGAAAAATAAAAACTCGAAGATTGAATTTTCTATAAGTTATTCAACGGGTCTTAGGTAGAAGTAAAGAAACAAAATCATTATATTGTCACATAAAAAAGTTATTTAATATTCGTTCGTTTGGGGAAAAAAATAGTTTTTTTTTTTTTTTACAAACAAAGAAATTGGTATTGGTATGATTTTTATCTCGAATTTATGTAATCAGTGATTTTTGCTAGAGAGAGCTATGGGAAATTCGTAGGTCAAATAGTTTGTTAATTGCATATTTTACTTAGGAAAGGACAGAGAATAAAACATAGTGTTAAAAAAGTATGTTTTATATATACATTTGTGTATATATTTTTTTTTGAGAATTTCACCCCTGGATTAAGTTCACACAATAAATACAAGTTGGATGCCAAAGTCTTTGTTTGTAGTTAAGCACAAAGCTACACAAAGGGATATCTGCGCTCTGCCCACCACGGGTATCGAAACCCGGATTTTAGCGTTGTAAGTCCGTAGACATACCGCTGTGCCACTGGGGGTCCTCATTATAAGCATTTTTTTTTTCATTGACAAAATTTAAATCAGTAAAGAAAATGTTGATTTTGCTTTTATCACATGCGAAAATTATTTTGATATGAAGGGGGTTTGGGCGCAAATGAAACTTTATTGAGCTAGAGAGACCCCGCTTTAAAATCTTGCACTTTAACACGTTATAAATTAATATTTAGACTTTTATTTTAGATTGCTGACAGTAGTGTTAAACTAACTTGTTTGATTTAAATAGTCTGTTTTTTTGTAAACACAGAGTTACACGTGGATAGTAATTAAGTTATATAAGTATATCCTACATTTATATCAAGTTATAAAATTTTAAAGTTTCGTCTCTTAACGTAAGCGAAATTGTCTTTTCTAAAACAAAAAGTTGGAAATATTGTCAACAGAATCGTTTCCCAAGACATCTTACATTCAGCAGGGAGATAATTAAGATATTGCTGCATTTCGTTTTATAGATTAAAAGGAGTTAAGGTGGATATGTTTTTCCGTTGTGCCGTTCAGTTAGCTGTGTGCGTTCTTTCAGTCTGTTTACTACATTCTCGGGTACTAGTTGGCAGTGCCGCATAAAGAGATAACTGATTTCCCTTTAAAGAGCAGAAAAGGCTGAATCAATTTCAAACAGGAGAAGCATTAAATCTTAACTTTAAATAATTAACACGACAAACCTACCAAATTAAATATAATAATATTTTTCACGTGTCATAGACATTGTTCAATAGTCAAAAATCATGATTTACGAAAGGTTCTTTTTGCATATTATGCGTTGTATGCGAGGGCAACTCGTAACATAAATACAGGAATGTCGGGTAGTTATTTCAAGGACAACACTGCCCATGTAACATATATGACTAGTTATTTTTTCACCATTCGGGTAATTAAGCTACTTAGTTCATACGTATAGGAGTCTCCATTTCCTTCCAAATAGTGGATAATGGTAATACATAACTAACTTCTGTGTAAAGCTAATGAGGACTCAATAGCTAAACTTCTGTGTGCAGATGACTACACTTTATCTAACTTGTCCTATAATTATTCTTTATTATATCTTGGTGATTAGGTGCTCGTCTCTATAGGTGTCTCTCTGTCATTCCAGGTGATTACACAATTTAGCTTGTCTTTCTTTCTATGAATCGTATTCTAAATGAAACGATTAAATTCGAAGATTTCAACAAAACAAATATATTTGTTCCACTTTCCACTTCCAAGTCCGTTATGTTATAATGTTTACGACTCAAAGCTAATAAGATGCAATAGAATTTGTCCAACGTCTCGATATCTGGTGGAGTATGTAAATTACAGGGGAGTACCGATCGTTGATGACGCCCTGTGCGAGATATATATTCTACGCCCCTCCTAAAAAAATCAAATCTATGCAAACTCGCGCCACCTACGGATCGGTGCTTTGAAGATTCAAACATGTTTCCAGTTCAACTGCAGCACACGAAGGTGTAACTCTTTGATTTTTGTTATGAATATGTATAACAACTTTATTACTTACGTGGCTTTATATATATGATGGTTATATTGTCTATATGGATTTAACCATGATAGTTACATTGCTTATATGTATTTAAATACGATGGTTACATTATTTGTATGGATTTAAAGACGGTGGTTACATTATAATTTTACAGAATGATTGAGACGAGGAGTTAGCATTATTAATGTTATAATTATTTGGACTATTATTCACGTCTTTATTATGTGTATTGTTATTTTCACAACGTTTTGACCAGTGAATTCTCTGGCCGTCGTCAGGTGTTATATCAGACATTTTTCTATGCGTCACAAGCAGAAAGCTTTTTGTGAAACAACCTATGATCCCGAATACGGGCACTCTAACCAGGTGGTTACATTACTTATATGAATTTTAAAACGGTGGTTACGTTAGTTATATGTTTTAAACAGGAAATAAAACAACTGACTCCCGTTTAGGTTCAAAGCGATTTGAAAATAAGATATGGAAAGTTAGTAACTATTTCTGTCCAATGGTTAAAATGCAAACAACAAAACATTAATTATTGTGAATCTTAGAACAGAAAAGTGCTGCAAACGTTTAGAATTTACATAAAACTAGCGATTTTGGAAATGCTGTTTACCGCAAAATCGTTTAACCAACATTATGAATTTTGGCAAGATTCATAAAACATTGAGAGTGTAACTATCTAGTTAATTAGCTACTACCATCTGTGATGGCACTGAAAAACCACGTGAATTCTTTTGAATTAAGCTACCTTAAATGAACTTCGTATGTTCACTTTCAAGTCATATAAAATTTGTTAATTTGAAGCTATTAAACTAAAATGGATGGGATAATAAATTAACATACTGCTCGTTGAACGAATATCGTGGTACCAAAATTTGTAATAATACTCGTTACCCGAAAAGCACAGTGCCTAAATTTGTGATATTGTTACTCGAATAGCACAGTGTCTAAACTTGTAACATTACTTGTTACATGAATATCACAGTGCCTAAATTTGTAAGACCAAGAACTGTTGAATAGTTGGTTTCCAAATTATCGTCAGTTTTAATAACATGTATATTTTATTGATAAAGTTCAAAGAACGTAAAAAATTTCCAACATAATTTTTATTGAAATTACAATTGATTTTGTGTATTACAAACAAGTAATTTCTTGTAAAAAAAAAGTCACAAACGTAAGCCTCATTATCAGTGTTGGCGCCAGCACCAAATATTTGGGAGGTGAAAGGGGGAGCAAGCCAAAATTATGGGAGCAAAACAAGACATCTCATACTCACGTGTAATTTTAATGGGACTCGTTATTCCCTCCAAACTTTAGTGTGTTAAATTTCATTGACCCAACGTTGGGTTCCAAAAAGTATTTTGTTTTGAGTTTTGAAGCCTCAAAATACTCACAGACCTTGGAAAGGATCCGAAGGTTTTTGGCCATTCTAGTATATCTAAAAAATTTTTGAGGGAAAAAGGGGAATAACAAGTCCCTTTTAAATTGGATTGATGAATAATGTTCTTTCGAGCATTATTTAATTAAATAAATGATTACCTATTTTTAGCCACAAATGAGCGGCTCATTGAACAGCTCTGAGTTTGTTTGTTTTGTTTTTCTAGTACAAACTTTTAGCTTATAGCTGTGTTATTTCTGTGACCGATTTGAGCTCTAGTTACAGTTTTGGACTCAGGAAGTCAAACAAACCCTTTCGATTGATATATTTGACCACGCCCGCTCTCTCTATTAATGTACCCTAATCCTACTTAAAATAATTTCAATTTGAGGTAGGCTGGTAGAAAAACTGATGAGTAATAAAATCGAATTGGATATACGCGCGCCCCAGGCTTGGTATTACTGGCACACAAAAATATAACTAATAAAAATGGAAACAAAGGTCTCATAGATTAATTTACTCTAATCCTGCCTAGAAGAATTTCAAGTGTCGCGGCTATTAAGAATTCACTCTTGTAGGATATATCTGGTTGACTTCTAGCATGCAAGAAAAAAAA